CCTGCTGAAAAGTAATGGAAACCCGATTGTCGAGAGGCATTCTGTTAGCGCAGCGGTGTTGCCCATTCATAAAACAAACCGGATATCGACGAGTCCGAAGTGCACTAAAGTGTCGTGTGTCCGGAGCACCGTTCGATCGCGATAGGGGATAGCGCGCGTTTAAAAGGACGTTATCATCGCGAGCATCAGCAACTCGCGCAACTTTTGCACAAAACGTCGATAGGTCGTGGAGAACGCCATCGAGCCTCTGAATGAAGACGAGGATGGCGGGCTGGTGGACGGGGGAACGTTATTCGCGTCATTTGTGAAACGCACGCGTTATTCAATGAAAGATTCATCTCACTGACGGAGATTATATTTGACAGGGGTCAATGAACATTGTTTCGTTCAGATACATGGATCGCTCGATACGCTCGGTCGACGGAAGCTCATCTGCGGATGCGAATCGAAATTTCGAACTGTCATCGGGATCTGTCGTTGACGATTCATCGTGATCGCATCGCGTGGATCGATCGAGATCAGCTTTTACCACACGCAAGTTGACACGATTAACGAAGAGATGCTGCGCCGACCAACGGCTGGCGAACCAACTGGCCTCCAACTGGTCCCCGTTATTCGCGAAGCGAACCGGGCGAGGATCAAGGACGTCCCGTCGACGCGCGATCCTGCGAACGTTGGAGGCGCGTTCCTTCACGAGGACTCTATCCGGCGACTTGACGGTGAGTAAGGATTTCATTCATGAGTTCTCTCACCACTGGCGGAGTACGTTGGTCGTTGAAGCGCGGACCAGTGACGTCATAGCGTCGCGGCGCCTGGCGTCAGACTGGCTTGACGGTGACATTACGTGGAAGTGTGTTACGATAGCGCAAGCGCGTCACTCGAACCTGAAGGGGGATGCTCGAATATCCTCCCTCCCCCGTTATCCCCCCTTTACAACGGAGTTCCTCCGATTCCACCATCTTCGATCCTCCTCGCTCTTTCTCCTTCTCTCTATTCCTCTCTCCATCGTACCTTATACGCTCTCGCCGTCTCGGTCGATCGCGTTCTGCGTCGTTTCCACTCTTGTCCGCCTTTCCCCAATTTTGCCTTTGTCCATTTTCCTTTTCCTTCTCTCGTCGAATATTTTTCCATCTCGATTTCTTGCACGAGTGCGCCGGCTCTTTTGCGGATTCTTTTCTACCACTTCATTCCTTTCTTCCCGCTCTCCTCTGTGACGAAATACCTATCCACTTTCATTTGACCATAGTTCTCGTCTTACAAATATTGTTAGCACCCCGTCGCATTCGGGGAAAACTTTGAGCCCCGGCGTGCCTCGTAAAGTTTTATTATGGAATTAACGCCGGCGAATATTCAAAAGAAAGTTCGCGTTATTATTATTATTTATCATGGTCCGCTCGTCCGCCGGCTGTGTACCTGTTTCTAACTTTGTCACAAACTATAATAAGTATTACTTTGCGTTGTGGTTGCTCGTCCGTCCATTTTTACGCTTAAAATTGTTACCGTTTCTGTTAAACTAAAAGAGAACCAGCGTGAAACAGTATTATAAAATATGTTGACAATTTTATCTTGGAAAATATTACGTATCAACAAATAATAAGGTAAAGAAATGTAATGAGATTTTTCTTATGGTCTTTTACGGTGACATAATTCATCGCAGCTGCGCTATTTAAAAGAATATTCTTAGGAAATGAAAAAAACTTAATAATGACCACGCTATCTCACGCTGATGGCTTTACTTCGAGAATGAAATAGAAAAGATATAAAGTGGGAAACGAGTGTAAAGTAAAGAAATATGGGGGAGCGAAACGCGGCGAAAGTCTTCCCGGTGCTTCATCCCGATGAGATCAATCACTTAAAAACGCCACCGGAATCCAGAGGAAAAGAGAGAAAGAAAGAGAAACGTATTCGCGCGAAACAACATTTTTCGATTTTTCGATGTGTAGTATATATTTCGCCGGTAACGGATTTTTCGTTGCGCGTCGACTGTTCCGTGGGTCTGTTTGGCAAATTCAACGCGAGGGATCTAAATCGGAGCCGGATCCATGAATAAAAGAAAAGGTTTGCGTGATACCGCTGATTCGCTGGTTCGATGACAAAACGATTTATTTCAACCTCCACCGTCATCTCCGTTAATGTTTGAAAAACTGGTTATATTGCCTACACATATATATTGATAAACTACATGATAAAAATTTTTTTTTTAAATTCAAACACATTTTTGTCTGAATTTTCAGGCGTTTCTGGGTATCTAAAATTAATCTATTTTAATCATCGGAGACGTTTTTCTGAAAGTTCAGAAAAGTGTGTTTGAAGATTGAAGTGTCTTTGTAAAAAGGATACTTTGTTTGAAGTTTCAGTCAATTTTTTCACAATGTATATTAATAGATTTATCATAATAATAATTATATGGTAATAAATAAAAGTCACGATATTTTAAAAAGAATATCTCGTGAAATATTTGACGGTCGCTCGCACGGAGAGTGTATTATTCCCTCATTATGGTTTACTTTTACTCTTAATCCTTTCTCACGCGATTGTAATTAATCAGGCGACGTCGCGGTAATAAATTCTCAGCGACGTCTAATTATCTCCTCGAGATAAAAGCCCCAAGAGCGCGCGTCGGCGTTTCCTTCTGCTCGAATCCGTGCAGTTTTTCGCTGACCATCGCCTGGATGCCGGGGCAATCCGATTTACTCTCCAGTCCGTTCTTATTGGCTAGCCACGGAAGCCGTAACTACTGTATGTACGTATCAACTTCTGGAAGACAATGGCATTTTCCTTCCCCCCTCTCATCAAGTAATAAGAAAAGTGCTCGACGCGACATACGTCGAACACAGTAATGGACAGGGCGCAATCCAAAGTGGAGCACGTCAGCAGTCCCGGCGATCCTCGGC